TTTTTGGCTCTTTATAACATTTATACTGCAAATGGCCCAACTTTTTTTTCTTCTTTTTTTGCTAAGAGGCAAAGTATTTAAAGTGTCTCATTTATTCATTAATGTTATTTAATATCATTCCTCGTAATAGCTTGGTATTTAGGCACCGAAAGCAATGAAAAGTATTTAGTTTTTGGAATAATAGCTGAATTTTTATATCCTAAGTGCTTGAAGGTTTCTTATGCCCTTTCTTCTTTTTTGAATCACTGTAAGTGATAGACCATGCACGTTTTATAGAGACGAAATCCCTTCATAGTTTTCGGGTGAGAAGTACCGTGCGAAACTCCCTTGTTCAAAAGCAGTCCCCAAGCGAATTAAAAGTGTAATTGTCACTATGAACCAAAGGCTGATCAAATGCTATTTGTGAATTATTTAAGAGAAGAATTTAAAGATGAGTTACCATCTTCATACTGTGAAGTTGGTAGCATGAATATCAATACCGGATTGGCGCAGAAACCCATCCTCTTATTAAACAACATACTCGGTGTCTTTCTTTCGCAAAATAAAAGAAAGAACCTTTTGAAAAAAAAGCAAAATAATGGTATTATTGAACTTTCTTATATCTGGGCATCAAGTATAACGTTAATTCTCAAAAAGGACGGTTTTCCACGATTTTGTTTCAAATGTTAGTGACATTATTAATTAAAAAGCTACGCTTCATCTAGAACTAACGAGACTTAAGACATGCTAGTAGGAAGCAAATGTTTTTCAGCTCTGGGTTTAAAGAGCTGAAACCTTCTGCCAGTAAAGAGCCAGTAAAAATACTGGCAGAAGGAAATCTTGAGAAGACCGCATTTGATACAAATGAAGGAAAAAACTCATAGTTTAAAGTATAATTTTCGGCATGTGCAACACCTCAGTGATATATGAACATCTCAAAGGATGCAATACTGAAAGGACTGTCATGTGAATCTTATACCTTGCATCTCCCCGACATTATGATTTTCGGACTCATTTTTGAGGAACACTTGAGAAATATCAGAAATATGCTGCAAAAACTTAAAGAAGCTAATGTTAATCGTGTCTTTCAAAATATCGATCATTTCGCCTTGAAGTTAGTGACCGACAGTTTCTGAAAAAAAAAATAAATAAATAAAATAAAAAAAAGCTGTTCTTGAATGGTGTCGAATTCAAAGAAATTAAGATGATTTTTTGGACTACGCACCTTTTACTAAAGAGATGTTAAAATTTTTCTAAGGACGGAAGTCCTTTACAGAGTACAGTAGGAGCAAAATGAAAATTTTCAGAAACTAATTATTTTGTATTAGCCTACCTTCAACCTAGATATGATTTAATTTTTGATGCATATGCCAACAACGAAAGGACTGGAACAGTGTTTCGGAAGGAAATGACAGCTAAGTATGCGTTATCCAGCTTTCAGAAGGCTTCTTCTTACAGTACTGATGCTGGCTGACGTACTATGATCTTCCCACATTCATTTTAATTATGCGGGTTATAATTTAATAATTTACGGTTTTTCATACTGATTCTTAAAAATTTCCTCTCTTTTTTAGTCAAAGAATATATTTTTTATGCCACACTTGTTTAAACGTTTCAGTGAGAAATTTTGATTTTCTGCTTTCTTTTTTTACAACACTTACAACCCGAAGCTAAACATTCCGTATTTAAACAGCATCTTTTTGTTTCAGATGAGTATTTTTAGCAATAACTGGATATGTATTCTTAATATTTCATTTAAAGCTTTCTTTTTGCCTAATTATGTTATTAAATGAATTTAGTAAAAAGCAATGCAAAAATAAATAATCTTAAAATTAAATCAAATACACAAATCATACAGGAACAATAACAAGTTGAAATAAAGGAATACAATTAATTAAATCTAAACATTAACTTTATTAGACTTGTGAAATAAGGAAATGGTGTTAATTTTTAAGTTTGTTTAGAAAGTTAACCTTTCTAAAAGAAAAAAAAAACATAGAATTAATTTAAGTGCAAGTGATTAAAAGCATGTTGCCATTTCTATTTGTTAAATAAGATGTAGCAAATTTAATTACTTAAATATTTGGCAAATGAAAAAACTTTGAAAGAATGTGAAACCTAAATTATAAAAAAGCTAAATTGGGCAAACCATGAAAAGAAAAAAAAATCCAAAATATTTTGTACAAAATTTCGTTTGAAAGGATAGATTTGGACATTTCGGGATTCCACCTTTAATACCTAACTGTAATAAGTACATCCTAGATGTCTTTAACTATATTAAAATAAAGCAAGTGCTCAGAAGCATGTGCCTTTTCTGTCTAAGAAGCTTGAGCTTCTGTAGAAGTTTTAATCAGAAAACTTGTTTTTCTCGCTTTGGATTTCCTCTTCTTATTAACTCTAAGGAACTACCACATTCAAAGAAGTGTAGAAGATCTTCAGAATAAATGAGACTTATGCCATTACATACACATTCAGACAGCATAGCAGAGATATTTAATCTATCAATATTATACCATCTTTGACTATTTTAGTCCCCAATATCAGTAGAACTGTGAAAAAAATTGCCTACCTTTTTGGTAGCGTATAGGACTGCAGGCCACAACAGCATTTCAGTTCCTCCACCATACAATATTTTGGTTGTAATATTCATATATTGTGAGACTGGCTCTTTGGAAGATCGTCGGGCACATTTCATATGCCTGAGTATTACCTAAAAGACCTGCAAGCGAATTTTGAAGATGTTCATCGGTTCGCCAGAGCCTATCAGAACAGTAAAACCTCCGAACACTGGTAGTTCGAGTTGGGTGTTAACATCCCGGCGAACGACCTGGCTGCAGTATCTCAACAATCTGGGAAAACAACGGAAGTTAAAGGTTTAAACACGACTTTTCCAAATTACTTCATTTCTTGAAATGTTGCATCATTTTGTAAATGAAATTATAACGCGATTTCGAGAACTAACCGCATCCCTCCTCCTAGTCTAAGTTCTTCCTTCAGTGGCTTGCCATTATCAGATAAAAAAAAAAAATTAAACAAATACAGAGCTAATGATTTGGAGTTGTTATGACTAAAAACAAATTAAAAACTCTTCTACAGTGTTTTTTTTTTTTTTTTTTTTTTTTTTTTTTTTAAAATAGAATTTATTTAATTGTGCGTCAGATTTGCAGAAGGAGGAGGAATTCATTTTACATTTTGTTGATGCTGGCCTCACAAAAATTAGATACGATCATCGACATAAAAATATATACTGGAGCAAAAGGAATGCTAGATGAATTTAACGGTGATTAAATGCCATTTTCAGAAAATTTAATATTATTGATTATGTATTTCGTGACGGAAAATTTCAAATACAAATATTTAAACGAGGCTTACTTATATAAAAAAATTGCTTCTTTGTACCTGCACTTGAAAAACAGGTCAATATGCAGTTTCAAATTTTAAGAAAAAGTTACATAATTTCGATAATTACTTAATTATTTGCAGTGGAATTGAAAGAACTATTTCCCCACGGGTCAGCTATATCTGAATGCTAAAGGGTTTAGTTATTTCTTAATTTAATTGTATTAATTATTGAATATATTATTAAAATAGCCCTTCTTAGTTGAGTGTGCATACAACATTGGCTTCTTGAGTAAGGGAATATTGGAATGGAGAAAAGGAACATTTCTCCTTGCAGATGAAATTCTTCGTCTTGATATGATTGCTGCAAAAAATCTCAACTTCGAACACTTTGGGCGCTGGTCTTTCTTGTATTAAAGTTAAAATGTAATAATATTAACTTATGATTAAGACCATCTAATCTTTATTCGCTTGTAATACATGTAGTATTGACATTGGTGTGCATGCCCGAAGCAGGGAGTTGTATCTTGAGATATATAAGAGTAAATCAAAATCGTAATAACAACCTTGTATTTAGCGTTACATATATTAAAACACTCAATCGATTTCGAGGGCAACTAAAGGTCCCTCCTACTAAAGGAGAACAAAAGGAGGCAACTAAAGGAGAACAAAATTACTAGAAAGGGGAAAAAAAGAAGAAAAATAAAGCATCGGCAAAGGAGTCTCAGAAACACGTGGTCGTTAAACAGCAACAGCATGATGTTTCTGAGACTCCTTTGCCGATGCTTTATTTTTCTTCCTTTTCTCCTTTTCTAGTAATTTCGTTCTCCTGATGAGGAGGGACCTTTAGCTGCCCTCGAAACCTATTGAGTGTTTTAATATATGTACGCTAAATAGAAGGTTGTTATTGCGATATTGATTGTCGCATTGGCGTGTTTCTCTTCTAGTCTGTATATAAGAGTATTTTAATTAGCTGGCCTGACAGTCTTAATCGGAATGGAAAAAAGCTAAATGTATTATCTGCTATTAATAACTAGGAATTTCATAAATGTATGCACAACATATTCTTTATACAAGTTTTCCAAATTTTAAAATGAAATCGAAATACTAAGGCTTGCCTAGCTCATTGAGTTATTAAATCTGTAGAGCCATTAGGTATTTTTTGGAAGCCGGAGGGATGAAAAATTAGCAATCGCCTTCACCGGGAATCGAACTACGGATCTCTGGAATACCGGCCCAGCGTGCAGAACCACTACACCACGAAGGCACGCTAGGAAGGCGGGAGAAATACCTTATAAATCTAACCCATTAATCTTGAATGAAACGTGTAAATGTCGGTTAAAATTAAACAAAAAGCGCATTGTATAATAATAGTATCATATGTTCTTGTCTTTCACGCATTTCGACACTTGGATTGAGAAATATGCGTTGAAATTCTGCTAAGTCATATTTTCATATTCATATCTCAATTACCCGTTTTATAAATCATTTGCGAAAAGGAAATGAGTACACTCTTCTTTTGTTTTTATAAACGCCGCGCCGTATGTTTAATTCTGCTCACCTTCTCGCACTGGAAAAATAAAAAAATGAATCAGACGTGTCATGTTTTTTAAACTACTTGAGTTAAACACCTTGTATAAGTCCTTAAGTTAGCGTTTATCCTTGAACATTTGAGTAGGTTAATCATTATTTCCGCAGAAGCTTTTTACATTTTGAGGGGGATGAGGATTTCTCTCATTAGCGATTTCGTTTCTCACCGGTTCTCTTCTCCCTCTTATGTAAGACATCATTTTCTCAATGCATGGAGTTGATTTATCGCTTTACCTTGCCATCTGGCAAACTCTTCTTAGTTGTTGTACGAAAGATCAACCTGAATCGCAGGCAAATTCTGTTATTTGTGTTACATAATACCACATAGCCATAGGGTTGAGCGAGTGAACAGTTTTAAGCTTCGCTTTGCAACGGAATGCTGGAAGTTAGAACTCCCATACAGTATTAATTTTATTGACCGATGTGTTTTAATATGTTGTTGAGAATACACACTTGTTTCGTATTTGAGTGAATTTATATATCATATTTAAAATATAAAATATTGAAACGTTTTCCGATTCTGAAGAGTAAAGCCAAGGAAGTTTGGTAAGTCATTTTGATACATGAATTACATATTTATGTATTGTTGTTGCTGACTTAATGGATAACTTTAAAAGTAATAATTGAAATTGCATAATTTTTAAAGAAATATAAAGAGACAAGTATTAAAAATGCCTAAGTAAGGCGACTACCGTTTGAAAAAGAGATCTTCAAGGAAAGAGAAACGAATATTACATTTAAATATGTTTAGATTAACGAGTATTTATACGTTTTATGTATTACCCATCAACTTTAATTCTGGTAAGAATATATTAATGGAATAAGCGTTCCGCTAAATGACTAATTATTATTTTTTTAATCCTTGTAACTTACGTAAGCATTTCTTCCACAATTCATATAATAGCTGTGAGCATGTTCCTATTTAAGTCAAATTCTTTAAGACATAAACTCTGCGTGTTTACCACGAATTTAGTTATATAGATTATTATGTTAACGCATAATCATTGTAAGATACAATCTTTTACTGTAAATTATTTATAAAATGATATTTTCTATAGAGTGAAAATTTAATTTTACTCAGTCTGAAAAAATGGGCCATTTAAACTGTTTTTTTTTTTTTTTTTTTTTTTTTATACCAGCGGACTTGATTATGGCATTTTCCTCCTTTCTATAATCTTGAGAAATTCAGATCAGGAAGCTAAGGAAACTTTGCCTCTAATTTTTAATACTTAGTTGGTATTAAATATTTAACTCAAATCTGGACTAAAATAACATATGCTTAAATCGCCCGTTTTGAGAATTTATAACTAGAAATGTACAAACAAAAAACTACTAACGAAAACATAAATGTAGTCGAAGTTAAACGATTTACTATTTTTATTTGTTAAAGTCACCGAAAAGTTTAGCTGTTCCTAGATTTTCGCAGACATTGACAATGCAGTCAATTTTTTCTGTAAAATATTAAATCATGGATAAGTTTTAACTAGTTTCTGTCTGGATCGTTACTTCAGGAATAGAAAGCATTAATAATATTTCAGGAGAAAACGATAAACTAATAAAGACACTGTATAAATAATTTAAATGAATATATATCATAGAATATATTGTAGCACTTACAATGGGACTAAGCTGTCTCTGCTTCTCATGATTTTTCCTTGAAATTTGTGCTTCAGCATATGCTTTAGTGATCCAACTATCTCATTCTTCCCCATTGGAAAGCAGAATTTACGAATAATTTTTTATCACACATTTTAAAAATCTCTTTGAAACTGGCTGAGAACTGAAATATGTTGAAGAAAATTGTGAAAAAGATCACAATTTTTTCAGGCAAACAATTAATACTAATGTCCGGAAATGGAAGAAAAGGAAACGTATCTTTGAACTTATACTATTAGGATCAACTGATGCTTCATTCCAACATTCAATAACAAAACAGTCGGTGGTTTTTACTCATGTTCATTCTATTACCGTAATTTTATCCTCACAACTTTTGAACATATAAATTTAAACCTTTTAATTTATCTTACATTTGCGTATGTCCACTCTTTCCTGTTCAATTAAAATCTCCTAAAAATCCTTAAATATTTTCTTATTTAGAAACTACTGCTCATTTTTTTATGAAAAGTCCTGGCAATAATTATCCTTCGTCAGTGAAGTTTACATAACGGATTTTTTTCATACCTTACAAAATTATTTGGCTTTACGTTTCGTCTAAACCAAAGCCAGATAACTTTTCAGGTATAAAGGAGCCACATATAATTTTTTTATTTAGTCGGTGCCCCTCTCCTCCCCAAAAATGTATTTTTGAAGTTTTATTTATTTTTAATTTATTACTGAAGTACAATATGTTAGCAAGCTAATTGGATGTAGTGTATTTTATTATTTAAAACACAATAATTTATTAAGGTTTGTGCTTTCTTCATACAAAATGTATGAAAATGAATGATTTATTTAAAAAATAAATCAGCGGTCTTCAATATTTGGCACGAATATTTGTTATTAGTTACATCAGATTTCATACTAGCTGTGTTATGTCGTTAATTGGCGCCATAAAGATTAACGACAGTTGATTTCGTGGGAAAATGTGTTAATTTCATGAAAGAAAAATCTTGCTTGCAAATTTAAGGCTTTCCAAATAAAACATGAAAATTAAGCTTCAATTTATCTCAAATTTGGACAACATTTCTCCCAGGGAAAAGTATAAACGTTTAACAAATTTTCTTAGATTTTTCTGTAGCTTGTAGAGACATTAGGATTTTTTTGAAGCAGGAGAGATGAAAAATTAAGCAATGCCCTTGGCGGGACTCGAACCACGGATCTCTCGAATACGCGTTGAGAGTGCTCACTTCACCACAAAGGCATGCTAAGAAGGCGGGAGAAGTACCTTATAAGCTTTTCGCTGGATTTCACTCAGTCAGAAAGTGTGATGCAGATATATTCATCTTCGTCTGAAATATCAAATGTAAACGTTTCAAAAATCATTTTTGTTACTCAAAATTAAATTGTTATTCATCAGAATGTATAAACAATATTTTCTTGCTTTTAATACAATTAAACTATGAACTGAAATCTGTGTTTATTGTAAATTAATATTAGGTATAAAATGCTAAAACGAAACACACGTGAAGCGAAGTTTCAACTTTATAACCCTTTCCTATGAGATTTCTTAACTAATGTTATAATGTATTTCTCCCGCCTTCTTAGAGTGGGTTGGTCAGCACTCTGAGCGCGTATTCCAGAGGTCCGTGGTTCGATTCCAGGCGTTGCTCATTCTTCATCACTCCTGCTTTAAAAAAAATCCTAATGTCTCTAAAATGTAAGGGGAAAAAAAACTGTGTCCGGTTGTTCAGGAGCGCCCACCCCCGGCTTAAGCGTCTAAACAAGTAGTTAGTGTCAATTCTTTTACGCAAATTTAGTTCCATAATTTTACTGTTATTTATCTTTTCGTATAACACTGTATTTAAAGCAGGTAATAATAAATGTGATGAATTCGTAATAAAAAAAACAGCATGTTTATTTTGTCCACCACCCCCTAAATTTTTTTCGGAAAACGAATCTGTGAACTGGAATTTGACATGCGTTCGTATTTTAAATTAATAATTTACACTAAAATGCCACTAATAAATGCCATTAACTTAAATTAATTAGTGACGTTTAACTTCCAAATTCATACAGAAAACAAACTCTTTGTTACTAAAAGTGAAGATGTTATTTTTTAAAACTACCAAATTACCAGAAGAATTTTTTAAAGGATACAAAATGTAAAAGTTAAATTCAGTTTCGATGTTTTCCTCCTTATATTTGATTAATGAGGTACCTGACTAATCTAATTTATTTTCCTTTACTCCGAAAATTGATAAAAGATGACAAATGACAAGCTTATATGCTAAAGATAAGAGACTTGAAAGTAAAAAAAAAAAAAGTGTTTTCTAGAAACGGTATTACAATTTTGCATTAAAATAGTGTTTTCCAGTGCAAAGGGAACTGGTTCTGTTTTACGAGCGGAATAGCCTTGAAAATGTAAAAATACTCTAGGAACTCGATTTATATGCTTGTTATTAAGTTCTATGACTGAAGGTCAGTTAGGTTAAAAAAAAGCTATGCGTTTTTTATATGTGTGGATTTTATTCTTTCTGTTTTTATTAAATATTTTTTCTTTTTAAGAGTAGTTTATTTATCTGCAGCTTAAGTAATAAATCATGCTTGTCACGAATAAAAGCTATACATCATTTAATTATTCATACATGACATACGAGATGCCTTCAAGGGATTTTTCAATTGAACGTTTTTTCTGTCTACTTCATGAAATGTTTTACCTTGAGTTATCGAAACCGAAAAAAAGTTGACTTTTGCTTCAGAATCCGTTTCGAAGTGCGTAGCCATCTTTGAACTTTACAGAGGGCCTTATATTGAAACGGAACTTCTATAAAAAAGACTTATTTTTACTATCTTCATAACATGAACCTCCATCGATCCTAATAAAAAACATTACTCAAATTCAAACCTTTGCGAAAAATTAGAAGCTTTTTAACTTTCTGATTTTAGCACATTCTATTATAGTATTAAATGTTATATATATTTTTTTAATTTTTCATAACATATTATGCTAATAATTCAAGTACTTGCATTACGAATGCAACTTACATTGATGCACATGTAAATATATTTTATGATTATACAGATCATAAGAATGTGTCTTACATAGAACATAAACATTCAAAACATTGAAGGTAGTTTCAAAAAAAACTTCAAAGTTCAAAAAAAGCTGCTACCGTAAAATCTCTGTTTTTTCAAGGCATGTAGAATCTTGTATTTCACTTTCAAAACATCCTAAAGAAGATTATTTAAATTCGCTAGTTTTTATTGCCGCAAATGCTGATTTGCTCAGAGCTTTACTTCTGTAAAAATATGGAGATACAGTTTCTTTGCAGTTTTAACATTTGAAGTATTTATATTCCTGCCCTATTTAATTTTAAAATGCGTGACAAAACTGTGAGCGTTTTTTTTAATAGTTTGATTTGACTGTGCTTTAATTTAAAATATGAGGAACGTTTTTTTTCTCTAACGTGAAATTATGGTATTAAATCTCTACGGCAAGCTACTGTATATTTTGCAATTAAAAACATTTAAAAGAAAAATGCAATTTCAGATACTCTGCCTGACATAACTAACAAAAAGTAAAATACTTTTGAGCTATGCTTTCTCTTTCTCTAGACTTTAAAGCTAACAACTATTTAACATTTACAGTATTGAGTCATATTAAGCACAGCATAATGCTTATTAGAAAATAATCCACATCTTTGCAATATCCAAATTATAATGTTTTCTGAAAAGACTGTTGAAGATAAATCATCTAGTCTAATTTAGTTACATAGGAAGTATTAAAAACGATTAGATTATTTGAATATGCCAGAACACACGAGTACTATCTATGTAAGGGGAGGAAGGCCTTCGTGGAGAACGTTTTGAGAGAAACTGGCTCATATTCACGTTACACATGGAGAAAACCACGAAAAACAATCACGTAGCTAGTCCGTTTGCTCAAG